ATACAAATTATTTATATTAAATGCCACTTATATTAACAATTGCGATGACTGAACATTCTTGCAATATAAATAATGTGAACTTACATTCCGTATTCATGCCATGAAGAGGTTGGCAGAACTCCAAGCCCAATAAAAGTAGTCTGCCTAAGGAAGATGGCCCGAAAAAAATACCAGCAGGTGAGGTTGATGACAGTTGGCAGCCCCAACATATGACTATCTACCTGTGGACCAGTAATCCGCACTGGAAAAATACCACCAGTCGAGTTCCTTACTGTAATAATGGATACCCTGAGAGACACTTTGCGGACGAAACATGCAGTAGCCTAAACCGTGAAGTAAAGAAGAAGACATGAAATGAAAAGGGAGTAAATACGTTCTCTTGAAATTTTTTTTAACCACAAGTATATAAGGCAATTTACGTGTATATTCGTACATGACATGCATCTGGTGTTGATTTTCGTAACAGTTGATGAGATGAAAATGATTGGACATTCTACAAGAGAGTGACTGTCCGAGTTTAGAAGCTACTGCCGGCAACAGAAAAAAAGCCAAGTGCGTGGAGAAGTATCAGTATTGCAACAGTTTTGTGGTCTGGTAAGAATAAAGTCGGTTAAATGATAATTATTTCATTTTTAACTCCTCATTGCATTTGTGAGTAAAAGTGCTTCAAATTCTTTCTTGTGACGTTTCTCGAAAGCTCTAAACATTTTAAGTGACAATGAGCTTAAATTTGCGCATTTTCATAAATGCTTAAACGACATTTTCTAAATCACGGCTCCATTTTTTACTTTCTTTGAATTGATTACGCAGAATAGAAAACGTATTGTAATGCTGTGGGAAAAACGGTGATTTTCGACAAAATAGCTCTTTTTGCTGAGTGCTAGTAACGAAAAAGTAGATAAATGTTTATATATATATATATATAACGACTTCTAACACGTTGTGTAGTCAGGATTCATATATTGTAGGTCCTTGATACCAAAACAGCGATTGACAGAAAATTGACTGCCCATCTGTTTGTGAAGACTAGAGGGTAAACCATAAGCCCAAATTGATATTCCCCAATCGATGACTGATGTCACGGCCACGGATATTGTAATTTTTGAGGGTACTATACATGTAAACTCAGGGACATTTTCAAAGATTTTCAAAAGAAATGAAACAATTTTTTTGGATTTGGATGTTCTCAGCGTAAAGGACGGTTAAGAGAATAGTGCTGAAATCCCTGTCAATTGCATTTACTATTATGGATAGATGAAAGTTTCTCGTTTACGTTCAGGTTTCTTTTGTTTGCTCGCAGTAAGAATTAAAAATGGTACGTTTTTTCAGAAGCTTCATAGTAGTAAGTTTAGGATCACTTCCCTAGACCGTAAATAGGACTAGAGAATGTGGAAGTCTCTAAATGATTGACAACCTAGAGTTACGAGAAACAAATATACCTTGAAGAAATGTGAGCTTATGCCAGTAGTGCGTGAGAGTGTGGCGACCAGAAGGCAAATAATAATTTCATGTCATGTACTATGTCATTATGCCCATGTACACGTAACAGAGAATCGGGTTTTTGCAGCGCCCTACAATATCTACGGGGCAAGACAATGGTTAGTAGTTATTTAATATTTCAAACTGTGTAAGTTTGTGCATATTTTAATGTGCTTTGTTTTGGTTCCGTACACATATTGCCTTCACACGTCTGCCACCAAACTGAAGAATCACATTAAGAATCTAATAATGTAAATGTTTGTCGCTGAACTAGTAAGTTCCCTTTGTGAAAAGAACTACAAATTTTTGCTCTCAATCCACACATTTTGAATAAATAAAATAATGGGAGTGGGAAACACATTTTAATAGACAATAATTTGTTACAATAATTTAAAGTTTTTCTTTAATAAAAATAAATATATTTACAATTTTGAAAAACATACTGTGTCTTTGGTTTTTTCTTTAACATGGTATGAAAGGTATGTCGGAAACCTTTCTGAAGGTTTACTTGTACGTATAGCAGTAAATTAAGGAAGGACAAGGAATGACAAATTTGAAAACCTTGCAAACACTTCATATCAATTTCACAGCAAGAATTTACCTGTAGGTGTGAAACAATAACAAAATGAAAGTAAATAGAATGTAATGTGTCCTTTTCAAATTTATACAAGAAATTCGCACACGTTATTCATGTACACTAATCGAATCATTCGCCCAAATAATTTTCACATGCATCACTTTCATACTCATTAATGTTCATGAGAATGCATTCATTTCGATGAGAATTAACAGCTGGTTTCACACTTTTGAGACAATTTCTCTTTCATCGCCTATTACATCGATCGCCACAAATAATAGTTATTTATGATACCAGTGGTAAAAATGGCCTTTTTATTTTGCGAGTAGGAAATGTTGCGACACAAACCAATAGGCTGAGTGATGTAATCCTACGAGCAAAATAACCACGTGTGTCATACACTATTTTTTAGACTGTCTTACTGATATTCTTTATATTTAAATTCAAATATACAAATCACTTAATGATACATTAAGATTGGCAGTAGCTGACACGATCAGACGAAAGTGTTTTTTTTTCTTTGTCTCATTCATAGATTTAACAGAACACTTGAGCATCGGTTCACTTTTAGCACTAGGGCTAAAAATTGAACTTTTACCACGCTATACATGAGCAGTAGTGGATGTCTAAAAAATCAATATCTCTGATATAAAATGAAATTGTCACTTGTTTCACCTATATAGGAAATTTTATTTTGCTATTCTGTTCATATATAGGCATGTAATGACCGATACTGAACATTTCCACGAAATTCACAAGAAATTACTGTGAATTAATAAAACACCTGAAGACCATCAAGAGGTTTAATGTCATTTTTTGGTATGTTTTCACAGAGTATACATATCGTACGGTACAGACCAATCAGATTTCCCCCACCTCTCCAACACAAAAATGTCTTATATATTGTTAAAACAATTCACATCTTGGAAACGTATAAAACATTGTTCGCCAAGGAGTTAAACTCAGGCAGATCTTAAACAAAATTTCACCCTGACCTAATATAAAAATATCAAACAACCATCAAACTGAAACCAATTCTTAGTCAACCTTATTTTTTGAAGTTTTTACTAAGAAATGGTTTTTAAATGGAAAATAGAGTAAAATAAGTTCAAAAAGCCATTTTTATGGGAACAAAGGGATAAAAGGGAAATGGTGTTTATTAGATTTTTCATTTTATTTCATGAATAAAGTTTGGCGTCGGATCATAATATACACTTCAAGCTATTATCGTGCCGGATCTCACAAAATCAAGTTATGGACATGACAGTTTAAGACATTCGCTCGCATTCCTTCCCAGAATCCACCAAAATATTTTTCTCGGGTCCTTCAACTCGGCTGAGATGGCATTTGGGTCTACGAAATTGAAGTGCAATTATTTCAAGCATTGGTTTCTTCCTAAATTTCGAACTTACGAAGCTAAAAAGAACGTCAAATAGCGAGTGAAGAGGGAAGATAAAATAATTATTGGTTGAAAAGAATACAGAAATAGCTTCGTTGCTACATCATTCTGAACTCAAAAATGTATTAAAAAATAAATTTATTTACAGATCTCTGTTTTTATCGATAAATGTATTTTGAGATCAATTACGGAGCATAGAATAAAGTAATGGAACAATGTACTTTCAACAAAATGAAAAAAAGCACCTATTCGCTGTAAGACGTGCAGTACATTGTGTCAGTATTTTGTATCCCTCCCTGAGCAGAGTTTTGTTTCAGATACAAAAAGTAAATTTTTGAAGCAACCCTGCTGTTTTCTTCCTCTCATACGTATTTATAAATATTAAAATAAAGCGCACAATGAAAGTCTCTCGGCAGTGGCACCTTGCCGGTGAGAGAGAATAGAAATTTGGTAGTTCGAGCTGCAGCTTGAAAACAAATTACGTACTCACCACAATCATAATAAATGCTGGAAGTGTTGTTCCTTTCACTTTTCCCCAGTGATCTGGTTGCCATCAACATAATTGCAATTTTTAATAGGAGGCCCTGGTTCGACTCAATGCGGCGAGACTTTCCTGGCACTGTATATAACGATGGATGTGCAACTCGAGAAAGGTAGGGATTTCGCGAGACTTCTTGTGCCATGCAAATTACAGATTTATTACCTACAGAAGGAATAGTATGGAAGAAGAGTATTCTCTTCTTGAAAAAATATGACTTTAAGCCATGACGTTCTTCATATTTACGCACGTCGCGTTAAATCGTGGATTCCTCGCGGAACTTTTTTTGAACGATGGATTGTAGAAATGCGGGTAGATTGGGGGTATTAGTTTAAAAATAGGCCAATACATCTTATCTAGAAATGCCAATCTATGGAGAATCAGTCATGCTTTCGCAACTTTCTCAATAATTTGCGTTTCAACTTTCTCAGAAGTTTGAGGTATCTCCCATGATGAATCTGTATCTGCTCTGATCATTTTTTCCTTTTTTTGGAAAAAATGACGAACAGAAGTTCTCGTCTTCAACAGAAAATGTCTATTTCGCGCCAGTGAAGTGATGTTCGAATTGTCATCAGTGCTCGCTGCGAACTTTTGCCTTAAACTGTTTATTGTGCCAGAGAGGGAGACGCAAGGTCATCGTTCAAGAAAGTGTATGCGCTTAATAAGCTTATCGCAATGTTCGAAAAAGTTGGAATTGCCAATGCCATCTCTGGCCGTCTGTAAGCGAGCGCCCTGAGACTATTTGCAAGAACCCAACGGTGGAAATGAGGAAGGAGATCGTGCAACTACGATGAAGCCATCATTTTGTTTAACGGTAGTCATCAGGATGTTTTGCATTGTACAAATTCGGCCAACCAAATTTTCACATGCTGCAAAACCCAATTTCTCTCAAAGGTGTCAACATTTAGGACACAACATTTAGGTCACCAGAGCAAGCTTACATTCATCATCAAAATTCAGTGCAGCAGCCATCGTCGTCTTCCGCATCCACGGTGTCGAGCGCCACCTCAGGTGATGTGCGACATCCTGATGGTGGAGATGCCGAGCCGACTAACCCGCGACGGGCCTTTGGAGTCGACGAGGCGCTTGCAGACGGCCACGATGGCGCAGCGCACTTCCACGTTCTTCCACGCGTAGATGAACGGGTTGACGAGGTAGTTGAGGTTGGCAAAGGTGTGCGCCAGGCCGAAGGCCACGTCCAGCGCAAACCCGCTCGCGCCCCACACGCGCGCCAGGTACAGCGACATGTAGGGCAGCCAGCACGCGAAGTAGCAGCCGGTGACGAGCAGCACCGTGCGGGCGGACTTGGTGGCGTGCGCGTGGCGCGGGTGCGCGTGGTGCTGGTGAGCGAGGGGCGTGTCGCTGGAGACGGGGTCGAGGCGTGTGCGCGAGCCGCCCCCGCCGACGCCCGCCAGCGCCACCATGGCGGCCGCCACGCGGTGGATGCGGTAGTGGGTGACGCCCACCACGCTCAGCAACACCAGGTGGGAGAGCGCGCCCACGCCCATCACGAGCGGCACCGGCAGCACTGTCTCCAGCTCGCACGCCACCCCGGGCCGCCACTCGTTCCACCAGAGCTGGATGCAGCTCGTCAGCAGCGGGAACAGCCACGCCCCCAGCAGCAGCGCCGTCGAGCGCCTGCGAAGCACAACCAGTCTCTTAGCACTCGTGCTGGGGAACCACTATCCTTGGGTGATAGGGAGCTTTTTTATTGGGCAACAGCATGATAGGGTGATTTTGAAATCTCACTGCATTGAGTATTCCCGCTAATGTTGTGGCGCAAACTAGTGTCTGAAGCTCATTAGCTGAAGTCAGATGCGATGAACAAGAGCCCCCTCCTCTGAACAAAATGCGAAACTGGAACAGCACGTGCGCAGATAGATAGATAGATCTGTCGATTGTTGGAATGATGTAATGCGCCGTGCAAAAACTTCCCGCTGTTTTTGGTTGATTGATCGATTACTTTGTGTCGCCGTGCGTGTCAACTGTTAAGACCGATAGTCCTATAAGTGTAGTGCCTTTTTTCTGGGAGATGGTGTGATCTTCCCCTGATTGGAGAGATTCGGCTTGCGCAAGAGGAGCGCGACCTGGTTGGAGAGATTGCAGTTTGTGTCGAAAATCCTGCCACCGGCGAAACTCGAAACCTCGAAACTCCCGGTCATGGCCACTGTAGTGCCATCAGTTGATGTTTGACAGTTGATTTTTATACCCACCAAGTCAGTTTGATGTTTTGGGGCATATGAACATTTATTGTAATTAGTCCCGTTATTTTAGAGAGTAGTTTTATTCCGACCTACATTCGCTTGCGGGAAGATTCCCAACCCTACTCCCACTCTAGCAACGCAGCGTCGCAGCCGGGGCGAAGTTGTAGCTGCAGATTGGTATCCCGACACATGTGGGAGAGTAGGCATGCCAGGCGAGGATAGGACAAGGAAGCGGAAAGTAAGATTGCGCGTGGCCCGTTTTTAGGGCATTGATGCAGCGTTTACTTGGCTTTTACTGGAGAAACTATATAAAACCACCGATTTGAGCAGCCGGTCGGTAGTCAGCAGATGATTTCATTCTCGACGCGATGGGTGATTCAACAAAATGGAACGATAATGATCAAGTATAAATTTGTACAATTTATTTGTTTAAGACTTGTTATACAAGATTTGGTCATTACGTAATTTACGTAGTTTGCCAGAAGGAAAAGTTCGTTGTATGAATGGCGGTGCCTTTTGGGGTCCGTTTAAGCTCTAATTAATTAAAAAAGAAAAATATATTATTTTAAATTGTAGATTATTAAATTGATTTTCTGGCATAATGGGAATATAACTTTCACTAATGGTTGTCTAATTTATTTTCTCTTTACTTTAAATAACTCTGTTCGTCGAGTTTGAATGCTTTTCTTGTAGATGTTCAGTATTTTAGGGTTCCTAGTAAACTTAGCTGCGAGTTACTTTGGAACATAGGGACTTTTTTATTTTATTTTCTCGTGTATGTTATAAAGAAAATGTATTAAAATGCTGCAAGGAAAAATGTTATTTACAGTGATGTTGTTTTCTGGATCAAGAATAAACACTGATAAGATGGGTCAAAATGTATTAATGGGTTTTGTAGAGGTAAACAAAGTTTTAATATTTTCACGTACTGTGTTTTATCTACATGATTGGTAACAGATGGGAGAAAATAGTAACTACGTGAGTTGATGATTTTTATCAAGCATTTCTGAAAGTTAATTTGAATTTTCCGTTTGATCACCGAATCCTATTTACACTCTTACAAACCACATTGACAACTAACAAAAACGCTAGAACTTCGATGCATGCTTCTGCACTACAAAACAATGTGTTATTCAGTCTTATCTGTTATTCAATCACAAGGTTACAGAAAAAGATGAGTCAGCACAAGCGTTGAGAAATATTCAAATGAAGTCATAAGAAAGAGAGCAGCGTTCAGAGAAGCAAACAAATTAGTAAAATGAAGATTGTGTTTTTACTGATGCTTTTTTCATATTTCCTGCACCTGGGTGAATCATGTTTCTCACTTAAATCGTATGTATATTCTTAGGTCATGTGTACAAACTTGTTTTTATTTACGGTGATAAAGGCTTTAGATATACTGCTGAAAGTATATATTTCCAACTACAATTTTTCTTCTGCATCTTGATATTTCCCGAAAATAATGATTAACGGATATATTTGTAATACTTTTATATTATTCATGTTACTGTTTTTTAATGAACTATTATAAAAAATGACATTGTATATAATGTTCAAGTTCGGGGTACATTATTTGTACAATGGCGTACATTATTTCTCTCTAATATTTAACAATCATATTAAATTATCCCTTTCGATTAATGGTCAACCAAATTCTGTGAACAATTAACATAATCAAGATTCAAATTTTGTAATATTTTCTGAAGTGTCCACTTTTATTACAACACAAACAGACCAATATTTTTCACGTTTGTAAGTATAGACTGTACAAACTGAAATATATATTTTCCTTCTTTGTAGAGAGATGAACTGTGAGTACGCATGTCCAATTTGCACATATTGTGAACCTCTGTTCAAGCGCTACATTGGAGGCCCGAACGAGTCCTTCTCTGACTGCTACGATCCTTGCAAGCGTTGCGACAGTGAAGCTTGTGAAGAGTTTAGAAATATGTCCGACGATATTTTGTGGGGCGAGGATTACATATGGACTTGAGATTACGAAAATTTCGTAAATAAATAAAATAAATTCATAAACTACCTAAAGTACGTAAATATAACCAGTTATTTGAGACCATTATTGAGAATAAAATATAAAACTGACAGAATCAATTAAATCTCTAAAGTGTTAAAACTAGTCTTCATCTCACATTCAAAACATACGACATACATCGATCGCGTAGATATATAAGTGTTAGATATTACTAGATATGGAGAAACCTAGATGAGAAATAAAAACGCGTGGTGGCTAAATCATTTAGATACTCTTGAAGATAATTGACCAAAATCACACGGGTAAAATATTCATAGGAATGTCTTTGTCTCATTAGTAGAGTTAATTTTGTCACACGTATAGTCGTAATTATTAAAGAAAATTGCAAATTTGCAAAAAATTTTATGAAAGTATACTTATGCAAACTTACAATTAGTTCCTATAAAGAAATAAAAATTAAATACAATTGATAAACACGCTACTGGAGTGAAAAAAAAAAAGATTTTTAACCAGCATTTTCATTCGGCTAAGATCGGTCATTTCATTCTAATGTATAACGTTTTGTACGAAGTTTAAGCCCATAATAGCGATCTGACCGGCTGATTGAAATACTCTGAGACATATACCTGACATTTGGTGTAGTCGATCACAAACATTGAGGTTTGAGTGTCATCTTGAAGTTGCCTTTTGAATTTTTTTAACTTTAATTATTACACATAGGTACATTATCATTTACTGCACTAATCGAAGCCTATTTAGCAGTCATCTGGTGGCTCAGAGCGAGGTCACTCGCCTTTCACTAGGGAGGCCCGGGTTCGAATCCCGGACAATCTTATGTGAAATTCGTTTCGACAAAACCAGTTTCACTGCTTCACAAAGGCTAGTCCAACCCCTGTAAAGTGGCCTAAACTCTACCCCGATTCTAATTCCTTCCATATTCTGGCCGCTGAGTAGTGACGTAGTATACATTTTACCGACTATATGCTAATGAAGTCACTAACGGATTCATTATTACAACAATATACTCCACTGTATATTACAAATAGATCTTTTGTCATAAAATGATTTGAGTTGATACTTCGATTTTGATAATCTTGTATATTATTCACATTCCATCCATATTTGACTAAAGACAAAAGTATAGGTATAGAGACGACCTACTGGAATAAAAAATCACAGTTTCGCAATGTTCGATGTCACGGAGACTGTCGAGCTGAAAATCATGAAAATAAAAAACCAGAAAAGGAAAAAAATTACTTACATACTATTCACTCACATAATGCAAAATTGATTATGAATAAATGCTATCTTTTATTTTGAGTTTGAACGCGTTTTAATTTAATATTTTCAGGAAGTTTCTTTGTTCATATCTATACTAAAGAATCATCAGTTATGAGTAAATATTAAATGTATCTTTTTATTCCCCCCCATTAAGTAGATTTATTAAATTTTTAAAGTAAAACCTATGTCTGTTCTTACTGCCTCTAATTTCCTTTTTACCCATGAACTAGAATGTGGGATCACATCTGACTCAACGAGAATAATCAAATTTCTTCTTTTACAGCAAAAGTTAGTTTCTGATTCTACAAAATATGAAAAGAAGCATATGCCTTATCATTACTAATGTGCCCTTATTAAAAATGCGTGTCCATGTATTTAGACGTCACGTTTACAAGTATCGACGCGATGAATTAAACCGAGAGCAGATGTCCGCGGAGATGAGTGATTATTGCTATAGCTCCGTGCTCGGAGAATCCCGCATTCGAATGCTACTTAACTTATGAATGTAGGATAGTTCCGTGGCGTGGTTGTTTTTCTCCAAACCATCATGTATTCCCTAAAAAAATACCTTGACCTTCCCATTCCCCTACCCTAAATATTCATACATGTATTTGAAGGAAAGTAAGCCTACCAACAGAGTAAATGGAGAATGTGCAGTCAAGAGGTAAGAACTAGAGCATGCGTGCCATCCACACGCCACCTAACCTAGCACACCGTAACTGGTTTTAAATGTCCCTAAGAACCTATGAGCTTCAGTTGTGGTATGATGGCGCAGACGAGGTAAGATGTAAAATAAAGTAAGTGTAAGGTAAAATAAAACAGTTCCTACCTATGAATAGGAGCCGCTAGTGTTCGTTCTAACAAGCTTGCACACGAAGGAAACAGCACGAGGAGGTGTTAAACGGAAGGTTGTAATGTACAAGAAAGTGAGTAGTTAATGCAGAGTCATAAAATCGCTAAATATCGGGGAACGAATATTGCTGAACGTATTGAAAATATAAAAGATGTACCAATCACACACCTTGCCTGATGTAGATCTTTAATAACTCCTTGCCTGTGGTAACTCTCAACAAAACCTTTGCCTGTCGCAGCTCTCCATCAAACATCTTACCTAAGGTATCTCTCCTTCAAACACCTTGCTTGAGGTAACCCTCCATCAAACACCTTGCCTGAGGTAAACCTCCATCAAACACCTTGCCTGTGGTAACACTCCATCAAACACCTTGCCTAAGGTAACTCTCCATCCAACACCTTGCCAGTGGTAACTCTCCATCAAACACGTTGCCTGTCGCAACCATTCATCTACACCTTGCTTGAAGTAACCCTCCATGAAACATCTTGCCTGTGGCAACCCTCCATGAAACACCTTCCCCGTGGCAACCCTCCATCAAATACCTTGCCTCTGACAACTCGTTGCCGTACTGACCTGAAGCTCATGATCTCCCTGTATCTGAGCGCGTACACCACGGCCACGTAGCGGTCCACGGCGATGGCGGCCATGCTGTAGGCCGAGGTGAGGTGGGAGTTGCTGATGAAGAAGAAGCGCGAGAGGCACAGCCAGCGGCGCCCTTCCAAGGCGTCGCGGGCGGCGCACGCGTACCGGAAGACCAGGAAGTAGGCGGACGCCAGCCCCACGATGGCGTCGGCCGCCGCCAGGTTGGCGATGAAGCGCCGCGACGAGCGGCCCACGTCGCGGGCCGGCGCGCCGGGCGGCGGCGCGCGCGACAGCACCACGCACAGCAGCACCAGCGCGTTGGCCGCCACCAGCGCCGCCAGCAGCGCGCCGTCCAGCGTGGCCAGCGCCGCCAGCAGCGAAGCCGACGCGCTGCCGTCCGCGCGCCCCAGGCACTGCTCCTGCGCAGGGAAGAACCGACCGCTCACGTGACTGCTCCAAGGCCCTCCCCGGCCGCATTAGTGATAGACATTTGCACAGTTGTTAGGAAATTGTGGAGTGTTTGCATTAATGTGTGTTAGTATGTGTGTGTTTGAGAGAGCGAGGGGGGACGAGGAAGGGAGAGGGACACACACAGGGAGAGAGAGAGAGAGAGAGAGAGAGAGAGAGAGAGAGAGAGAGAGAGAGAGAGAGAGAGAATACGCTCCCAGCTCCGCCTAAGGCATTGTTTCTGCGCGGGGATGAACCGACCGCTCACGTGGCTGCTCCAAGGCCCTCCCCGGCCGCATTAGATAGATATTGGGCATAGTTGCGGCGTGTTTGCATTAATTCGCTTTGTTCTGTGTGTGTGTTTGTGTATGAGACAGTGAGGGTGAAGGAGGGAGGGAGGGCGGGCGAGAGGGAGAGGGAGAATAAACCCCCAGCTCTGCATAGACACTCTTTCCATGCGGGGGAAAACCAATCGTTGCTGAACTTAAAAACTGTGCATAGTTGCTAGGAAACTGTGGCGTATTTGAATTAATGCGTGTTAGTATGTGTGTGTTTGAGAGAGCGAGGGATGAGGAGGGAGGGAAAGGGACACAGAGAGAGAGAGAGAGAATACGCTCCCAGCTCCGCATAAGGTACTGCTTCTGCGCGGGGAAGAACCAATCGCTCACGTGGCTGCTCCAAGGCCCTCCCCGGCCGCATTAGTGATAGAAATTGGCACAGTAGTTAGGAAATTGTGGCGTGTTTGCATTAATACGTTTTGTGTGTGTGTGTGTGTGTGTGTGTGTGTGTATGGGACATCAAGTGCGGAGGAGGGAGTGAGTGAGTGAGGGGGACAGAGGAACAGACAGAGGGAGAATAAGCCTCCAGCTCTGCATAAACACTGCTTCCACGCGGGGGAAAACCAATCGTTCACATGACTGTTCTAAGGCCCCCCCCTGCCTCTAGACAACATTGTTAATAAAAAATGTGCATAGTTGCTAGTAAACTGTGGCGTATTTGCATTAATGCGTGTGTGTACTGCAATACTGTGTGTGTGTGTATGTATGAGAAAGTGAGGGGTGAGGAGGGAGGGAGAGGGAGAGAGAGAATAAGCCCCCAGCTCGGCCTAAGGCACTGCTTCTGCGTGGGGAAGAACAAATCGCTCAGGTGACAGTTCCAAGGCCCTCCCCGACCCCGAGAGTAGATAACAAATGTGCATAGTTGTTATGTAATTCTGGGGTATTTTTGTTGATACGTTTTAGTGTGTGTGTGTGTGTGTGTGTGTGTGTGTGTGTGCGTGCGTGCGTGTGTGTGAGACACAGCGAGGGGAGGGCCTCCTCTCAGATGGAGAATAAGCCTCTAGCTCTGCATAGACACTGCTTCCGCGCAGGGAAAAACCAATGCTGACTACTCCAAGGCCCTCCCCGGCCTCGAGACAACATTGTTGATAAAAAACGTTCATAGTTTATAGGAAACTGTGGCGCATTTGCATTAATGCGTGTTAGTGTATGTGTGTATGAGAGAAGAGGAGGAGGGAGCAGGTAAAGAGACAGAGATAATAATCTCCTAGTACCCCTTAGTAGTCACCCCTTAGTTGAGTTCCTTTGCAGTCACGTCGCTACACCTATGGCCCCGTCCTCAAGACAACATTAATGATAAAAACTGTGCCTAGTTGCTAGGAAACTATGTTGCATTTGAATTGATTCTTCTTGGTCTGTGTATATAAGTGTGTGAGAGGGAGAGGAAGGGAAGGAGAGGGATAGAAACGGAATAAGCCCCTTAGTCACTGTTCCTGTGTGAAGAATAATCGCTCACGTGGCTGCTCCAAATGTCCTCCTCGACCTCGAAACGTTGTTGATAAAAACTGCGCGTATAGTTGTTAGTTTTTTTTTGAATTGTGTTGATACTAATTAGAGCAAACAAGCAAGACAAGTAGACAGTCAAGGAGAAAAAACTAGTTCCGTGACTACTCCATGATGTAATACGGTACTCAAGGTAAAATGTATTATAAAATGTGCACATACGTATTAGGTAATTACCTTTCTTTGATACGAGTTAGTGTGTGCGGGAGAGAACGACAGAGAGAGAGAGAGAGAGAGAGAGAGGGAGGGAAATATATATAATCTGCGAAAGAGAGAGATCAAGGGACAGAGAGAATAATACAGAAATAAGGAGACACACACACAAATAAAGAGAGAGAGAGAGAGACAGACAAACACAGAGACAAAGAATAAATCGCCAGCACTGTTCCTGTGCAAAGAAAGATCGACCCACGGGCTCCTCCGATACCAAAATCTGAGGTTAGGTTAGTTTAAAGTGTATTATTAATTTTATTTCTAAGTGTCGGGTCTTTTCAGATCCTCAATTCCACAGATTTTTAAGGACGTAACCAAGCCACATTTGTTTACCATTGCATGACCCTCTATGCTCTTAACCGAGTAGGTCTGAAGGAAACCTCTTACGAGTAAAGGCTCTTTGAGGGAACATAAAACTCTCTAGCGTTCATGTGTAGCGTTTTGTAGGGTATTAATCTCATTCCTAATTTCTTCCACATCATAACTCAATCGTCTTCTCCTTCATCTTATCTTTCCGTACTGCCACAATTTTCAAAGCGCGTATCGAAATGTTCGTACCATTCTTTCAAAGGTACGGTGTGTAAAATAAACAAAACAATCGAAATTTAAAACTGTTTTTAGGTGTAAAATAATAATAAGATATACACATACTTGCAATACGTACACGAACCAATATTCACAATCATGACAAACAAATAGTTATGACATTCCGTATTGAGGTAGTATGTGTAGGCACTTGCTATATTACGGAACCCTACTGATTCGTGCAATCGCGTCATCTCTTTCCGTCACCAAATATTTGCGTGCGACTCGCACGCAAGTGGATGGCAATCCCCGCATTACGTCTTTCCAACACTTCTGGAGCTGCGAGCGTCTTCCATCAAGCAGCGCGGATTTTCCCCCACGAACACGTGAGTGCGTATATTCATCATTCAATATCAGTGACTGAAAGTGCTTTGAGTCTGTATTCTGCCTAACAACTCGCCCTCAACACAGAATATGTCATTTAAATCCGTCTGTTTTAAAATTAGAAAAACTTACAAGAATCGCCGTTTTGTTTTCGGATAGTAGGAAACACCTCGAGAGCGTTTTTATACGCGATAGGTTAAAGTTCTGGCTAATAAACTCACGTAAATAAGGTTTCTTTCCAACTTGTTGTTGTGCATGCAAAGCAAAACCAAACCACAACATAACTCGGGTTATCTAACTCATCATTAATTATTTCTTAATTCCCAGGTGAACTATGAATAATTTATCTGCACATGATTTCCAACGTCCAGCAACGGTTATGACACAAGAAGATAGGGTACTCCTAAATAATCCTCTCGCAAAAAGTATAATAGAAATAATGTAAATTACGTGTAGGGAAAAATACAGGTGCAATGCTTTACTTGTTCGCCAAAGGAACAAGCCTCGTGGCTATTTGCGTGTTGCGACGTAGTAGTGGGCAACTCAACCACTCAGGGAATTGCCTTGGTTTGAAGTGTGAGCGGCTTTTGAACAGGGCCGTTTGGGTTCTATTTCTAGCCAGTGGAGGAGGCTTTCGACAGTATGTTTCCACTGAGTTATTTCTGTCCTGATGAGGTGAGTTTTTTCGTTATTTGATTAAAATTGCATTAGATAAAATTCGTGAGATAAATTAAGAGAAAACATATGACGTTACTTTCTGAAAAACTCGCAAAGCGGTATTCGCGTATTGAATTTTAAATCATATCTTAAGTTTCCAATTTTTTTTTTTTGATCCATGAAGCATTTTAAACCAAAAGAGTTTTCTTTAATGACAAAAAATACGCCTGTTATTGATCATTGATTAATCCGTTGGCCATGAAGTTTACATTCAAGGACGAAATAAATTTCATTAATGAAATTTGATCTGAACAAATATAAAGAAATAAATAGTTATGTATGTTATTTCTATATAAGTGTTTCAACATTAATTGTTTGTTAAGACCCCTCCAAACCGGGTCACCCGCAAACTTAGCCGCGTTTTTCGGAATTCTACACCACTAAATACTATCAAAATGGTAAAGTACATAAAATGCATTTCCCAAACTAATAAAATAAACGGATAGACATGTTTTGTCACAATATACAAATAACTTCTTATTGTGGAGTTGCAACAAAGTACTAACATACGCTTAGTGGATTTAATTGTATGTACAGATATGTAACAGAAGTTGGCAACGGGTCTTTTGGTTCTAGACCGACACTGGCGAGTTTTAATATCTGACAAGTAGTTTGATGAAGTCGTAGGCTTCCGCGACCAGAGTCATGTGGGTGATCTGGGCTGTCCGGGTGACGCCGCGTCGAAGGCTGAGTTGCCGACGTTTCGACCATCCTGTCGTGGTCGGTATGCTGGCATACCAGCCCTGAGGAAGACCACGACAGGATGGTCGAAACGTCGGCAACTCAGCCTTCGACGCGGCGTCACCCGGACAGCCCAGATCACCCACATGACAAGTAGTTTGTAGGTGGGTTAATGATCTGTTAATGTAACTGTTAATTAATGTTTCCGGGCACCCCAAATGCAATTATCATTAGTCCCGTTAGTGTAGTGAATGCATTTTCGCTGGAGATAGTGGTGTTCTTCCCCCTCTGGTGCTGAGATCTGTCACCGGTTTACAGGAGACATCTCCCAACCCGGCAGACGCTCTATGCTCCCGTCTGGTATCACGGCATAAATGGTAGTGAAGTGGTTGTGTGTATAAGAAGTGGCAGGGGGATAACAAGGAAGGGGAACATCGGTTCGGATTTCGTTTGGTTGGTCTTGCCCGGCATTCGCCTGGTATTTATCGAAGAATCTACCAATCAGATCAGCAGACTGTTAGAATTCTCCTTCATACAGCTGCTGAATTCTACTTATCTAGATAGTGTCGAAAATCCACCGCCGACCTAGGACCTCATGGTCAGGGTCTCGG